ATATATATATATATATATATATATATATATATAAAGTCTGCTGAGGTAGTGACAATACAATCCCACTCCTGAGAACTAGTGACAGTCTGGTTGTGTTTTGTCTTCAAGTGGAAGAGGGTAGATATAATAGAAGGATGTGTCCACTCTTTGGTACCATTGTTTCATTCATTTGTTAAATCACACATTGTGATTAGATACTTCCTTGACTTGGCATCTTAGACATATTTCAATTTAGGAACTTCTGTGTTTTGCATTAAAACAGCATTTCAAATACTTGAAAAACCACTCCTTTCCTCTGTTAGTGCTTAAAGCTTACTGTTCCTATGTGAATGTTCCATTCCAGCTTCCTGAAAACTACCAAGTTTTAATGTACAGATGTGTTGCACATATTTGTAAGAGCAGCACAAAAGCAACTAAGCAACTAATGATCAGTAGGCAGTAGGAGAGAAGAGAAATAGACTGTGGGCAGTAGGGGGAGTGAGGGTATATATAGCTGGGGGGAAATAAAGAAGATTGAACACTATCAAAATAGACTATTTGCAACTATGAAAACAGAACAAGGATATCCGTTGGAAATTCTATTTCTAGGGTAAGGGTGCAGGGAATGTGTTGGAGGAGATAAAATTGTTTGAAATATAGTGTTAACATGTATCAAGATGTAATAATGAAAACCCTTCTCCCTATATAAATGACACAAGCCAAAAATATTAATAAAAACAAAGTACAGATGTATTTGAAATATCTGCAGTGTTCCATTAACATCTGGCTTTGTTATCATGTGAGAAAAGAATGCCATGAGTATAAGAGATAAAAGTCAACCATAGAATTTGGACTCCAGATGTATTTTCTGACCTCATTGTGCTACCCAAGCATGAACATGCAGATTAGTGAGATCTGGGAACCATGATAACATCCCCCTCACCTTTCTGTCACTCTCATGATGGTTATAACTCAGTCTCTCTCTCTCTCTCTCTCTCTCTCTCTCTCTCTCTCTCCCCCCCCCCTTCAGGGTGTGAACGGCATGTCTGTGGATGAGAAGCCTGACTCCCCCATGTACGTGTATGAGTCCACAGTCCACTGCACCAACATCCTCCTGGGCCTCAATGACCAGCGGAAAAAGGACATTCTATGTGACGTGACTTTGATCGTGGAGAGGAAGGAGTTCCGAGCCCATCGGGCCGTGCTGGCTGCATGCAGTGAATACTTCTGGCAGGCTCTGGTTGGACAGACAAAAAATGACTTGGTGGTCAGCTTGCCCGAAGAGGTACAGTGACTTGATTTGCTGGTGTAGTTCTCAAAGGAGGTTCTTGTATTATTTAAAAAAAAAAAACTAGCTGCGTATGAGGTAAAAGGTATATTCTGTGCTCCATCGATGTCCAAGTCACCCATACTTCTGTTTGTGGCCTAGAGAGTTTCTATTTGATACACTTGAAGTCTCAGAGGGATGAATATGAACAGAGCATGTTTCTTTAGGGGAACTGAGCCTCTGGGGCTCAGTCACTCATAGTTTCTAGTTCACTTCAGCTTCCGGATTTGAGTTGTTTGGTACCATCCTGAATGTGGGATCTGAATCAGTGAATCAGTGCTATGATTTCGCTCTTTCAAATGGTGTGAAGATTGCTAGGTTTCCCTTGAGAATAAAGAATGAAAGCCTTCTCATTGCCTTCCTCACTTGGGCAAAAGATAAAGCACCAATAATTCTTGTCCTTATTATGAGATTCTAAGTGGTGTAAACTTTTTCATCATTGATGAAATACCCTATTCAGGTTTCTTAATTACTTCAGTGAATCCAGTCATTTTGCTACTCAGGGGACTTGAGTAGCAGGACCTGCTCTGTCCAGAGATGATGTTCAGTTGTATGGTTTGAGCTACAGAATGTAGAGAATGGGTTTACAATGGAAAATCGTTAAATTGGTCATCTTTTAGACTATGTATACAGTTGTTCTTTGGGCATCTTGGTTTCCCTTACTTTCAGGACATTGAGGGCCATACTGAGCATCCTTGGCTTTGTGTTCAGGGCAGTTATTTCCTGTGTCCTCTGGTACAGTGTGCAAGTAAAACACTAGAACCACCAGTAGCAGTTGTACAAGTTGTGCACTGCACAATTTTTGCAAATAGGCCTCAAGGTTGTCCACTTTCTCACTGAATAGTTTTTCACAGCAATATAAAAGAAAACTAAAGACCTAACACTTGGATGTGAGGTACTCATGATTATAACTACAGATGCTTTTGGAGACCTAGAAAAATAATGCTAATGAATAAATCAGGTTATATATAAGATGATAGGAAGTACTGGGGTGAGCACTTGCTCTATCAAGAATTATCTGCATCTGAGATAAAACACAAATAATGGGTATGACTATACTTATGATTTCAATACTCAGGAGGCAGAGGCAAGAAAATCACAAGTTCAAGACTAGGCTGGATTACTTAATGAGTTCACGGCCAATCTGGTCTGTTCAGAAAGATTAAACAATGTTTAGTAACTTGCCTGGCATGGCCAATGCCTTGAATTTGAACACCAGCACTAAAAACAAGCAAAAAGTGGCAAACAAGGTACACGAAATGGAGGGAGTCACCAGATTTCAGTCCCTTAGTAAGCAATGTCTACAATTACCTGTGAGGAGCAGATGATAAAATGCCAGTTGCATAATCACTCAGTATTTCCACATTAGTATTCTTTATATATATATACATATATATATATATATGTATGTACACACACACACCACAAAACGCTCCATCAACACTCTTCATACCACTAGTGAATCAACAGCTAGAGAGACTTAAGAAGGAAGGGGATCAATCAGTGGCAGAAGACATAACTATGGCTGGGGTAAGGAGAGTAGCACTGCATGCCAGGTAACCTGAAAGACTGAGGAATGGCAGCTGAGGTGTGGCTGGGGATCTGAGCTCCATTTTCCCATCTTCATTAAGGTGGAGGACATACTTAACCATTTTATAGGTTGCCAGTAGTATTAGTGAACTAAGGACTCTAAAAGTTTTCAGAGCCAGGCGCTGGTGGCTCACTCCTGTAATCCTAGCTACTCAGGAAGCTGAGATATGAGGATGGCAATTCAAAGCCAGCCCAGCAGGAAAGTCAGTGAGACTCTTTATCTCCAATTAATCACCAGAAAACCAGAAGTGGCGCTGTGGCTCAAGTGATAGCGTGTTCACCTTGAGCTGAAGAGCTCAGGGACAGTGCCCATGCCCAGAGTTCAAGCCCCATGACCAAAAAAAAAAAAAAAAAAACATTCAGCACACTGCCTGTCACAGAGCAGGTATTTGTCATATAGCCCTTTCTTCTCTAAATGGGAGCATAAATGTTTTCTTCCTTCTCTTTAACCTAGAATTCTCTAGAAATATTTGGAAAACTTACAGTTATGCAACATAGTCTTGACAAAGAATGTAACCTTTACAGTTTATTATCTATTCCATGTTTTAAAACCATTTTATGTATTGTACTACTTTGCAAAAGAAATAGGTGACATTAATATACATATGCAAATGAAAATCATATCTTATGTAATTAGCCTTTCTTTAGTGGCTCTGTTAGCCCCATTCTTGGATCCGATCATGTCCCTTAAGCCTGGACTGGACCCTGTTCAGCACTGGAATCCTGACCTAGCCACTTTCTCGGAGTCCCAGGTCTTACCTGTAAGAGCCCTAAAATTCTAGCATCCTTGAATCTGTTTCTCTCTCTCTCTTGCTCCCTCTCTCTTTCTCTCTCCAATTTGAGGCAGATTTCTCTCTTGTCTTCCCAATATTAGAGAGAGAAAGAGGAAGGAGGGAGGGAAGGAAGGAAGGAAGAAAGAAAGAAGGAAGGAAGGAAGGAAGGAAGGGAGAGAGAAAGGAAGGAAGGAAGGAAGGGAAGGAAGGAAAAGAAAAGAAACGAAGGAAAGAAAAGAAACCGAGCCAGAAGGACTGGGAAGCAAAGACATGTGTTGAGTCTTAACCACAAGGTGCAGGGTGGAACAGCCATGCAGCACTACAAGCAGCCAAGCACAGATGCCAATACGATTATGGAGTCTTCTTGTCTGGAAGTTTTTATGGAAGCTATGAAAGCTGTTAATGTCCCTGGAATGGTTTAGGTCCAGTCTGTCAAGAAAGCAATCCAACAGACATGATTATCTTTGGACAGTCCCTGTGATATGTAATGCTTCAGCAAGTTTATAATATGGCAGCACAGGATGTCACTAGCACTCTGAGCTGGGTGAAATGGTAGCAGAGAGGGGAGAGTTCTACGGGACACAGAGGGTGATCCTGGGAAGCAGTATGACCACAGTAAGAAGGGCAAAGCAGCCACCCAGCCCAGAGCACAGAGCAGTCCATTTTCTTCCCCATGATGCCAACTAACAAACCTTTGTGGGAGATACCGTGCTTCCTGAAAAAGAATAAAAGCAAATTTTAACAGCTAAAGAGCATTAACCATAAGGGGATGGGAATGCCTGGCCCTGAACCAGCTGCATGTGAGATATCAGACAAACCAATCAACTTCCTTGGACCTATGTATTCATTCAGAAAAACATATATCAAGGTCTGTTCTAGATGCAGTGTGACCTTTGCTTGTATAACACTGAGGAGGAGGAGAAAGGAAAGATTACTATATGCTATTAAGGAAATTTAAAATAGAAATGAGGGTCTGGGAAGGTGGCTTAGTGGGAGAGTGCTGACCTTTCGATTCCCCAGCACCACATAAGCAGAAAAAGCTGGAAGAGGCTCTGTGGCTCAGTGGTAGAGCGCTAGCCTTGAGCTGAAGAGCTGAGGGACAGCACCCTGGCCCAGAGTTCAGGCCCCATGACCAGCAAAATAATAATAATAATAAATAAAAATAAAATAGAAATGAGGATTAGGAAATATTAGGGTACAGGTGATGGGATTTTAAATTGGTTATCAAGGAAGGCTTGTTTGCAGGAGTGACTTTTGGAGAGACACTTGGGGGGAGGGGGGAAGGTAGCTGTGCTGACAGCTAGAGAAAGAATGAAGTAGGCAGAGCAATACCAATAAAAGGACCGGAGGCTGGACAGGCATGGCATGTCTAACACACGATAGTAGAAATGAGGGAAGGTGAAATGAGGAGAGACATGTCAGACTGGTGACTGAGCACCTTACCAGACAGTTGACCTTCAATTGTAATGAACTGGAAAGCCATTAGACGATTCCACAGAAGATTATTTTGACTGCCATGTGAAAATACATTGAAAGAGTGCGCTGGAAGAGGCAGGAAAACTCCTGAAGTGACCAAAACAATAATCAAGACATATGATAGGATGGTCTTGACCAAGGGATGTCAAATGTCAGTATCAGGATCTGGCGGTATTTTAATGGTAGAGCTTAGGCTTTTTTCTTACAAATTGGATGTAAGATAGGAGAGAAAAAGAAGAGATTCCAAGGGTTGGGCCCTGAACTAATAGAAGAACTGAGTTGTGGTTAACTGAGACTCAAAACTTGAAAGGAGTAAAGATGTGAGGACAGAAGGCAAAACAAAGTTAGAAGTTCAATTTTATGTATATTAAGTTTGAGATGTCTGTTCACATCTAAATATAGATGTCTAATACACAGTTGGGCATAGGTGGCTAGAATTCATGGGCACTGTCTAGTCTAGAGTTAAGAATTTTAAAACCAGATGGATATTGAAAGCCTCTCAGTAATGTAGAGGCCATTTGTGGTTTCATTGATCATTTTTGGTGGAGCACTAGAAGCAAAAAGCAATCCAGTTTCATGCTACAGAGAATGAAAAAAGTGAAAAGCTAATGTAGGCTTTATTTTTAGGGTCTTTCAACTTAAAAGGAGTAGTGACATGGGCTGGTCCAAGAAGCTAGAAAGAAGTTGTGTCAAAAGATATTTCATTTGTTTTTATGTCTTATGTAGGAAAAAATTCCAACATGTTTGTACTGTGTAGGCAAGGATTACCAGTATTCACCCAGACCTAGTTTTCTTCTCTTTGTTGCATACAGAGGAAAACTAAACTTGTAATCAGGCTGGCTATGACATATAATCAATGACAAGTGATAAACTATCACATCACTTCTGGACTGAGGCTATTAAAAGTACGTCTGAATTCTTCATACTGTTTACTATCCATGTAGCTGGTATCAAAGAAATCCAAGATGGTGCAGAAGCCTGAATCTTGGAGTCACTGATGGAAGAGAGCCAAGAAAATGAACCATCTGATGCAACTCAAATTCTGAGATGAATAAGAAATAAAGCTCTATGTTAAGTCAGTAAGCCTTGACATTTATCTGGGTGTGTGGTACTTATCTG